CATTTGAAAAAAAAGAACAACGCCTTAAGGAATTAATTAAAAATTATGAAACAAGAGAAGATTGTTATAATGAAATCGCTCTCACATTATTTGAGCGCCTTATTAATACTAAATTTTGGATGTCAACATATATGGAAAACTATCTTTATGCTATTTATTATTGGTCACTTTCTAAATCTAATGTTAAACTATCGGTGATAAAAAATACCGAACAACACAAAAAAGATTACCATACAATTTACGACGAATTAGAAAGTATTTACAGTAAATTTCGAGGGTCAACGCAACCTTCAAAGTATATCATTCAGCTTGACGGAAAATGTACTAAAAAATTTAAGAATGATAGATTCGTTACATTTGAGATTTCATTGGACCATGAAAAATTATTGACAACCCAGCATGTACGACTTCATGAAATTAAAGTATTCTTGAATAAAGTTGGAAATGAAGGCGATGAAATATTTCTCTATATTAGCAACACAGGCGAATTTGCTGATAAATTTGAAAATGAAAAATATTTTTTTAAATCTGAACCTACAAGAAATAAGGTGTTTAGATATAACGTTTCAGGTGAAATATTAACACACGCATTATTTGATGATTCAGATGTTTATTTTGTTCCAACACCGTTTAGTCAATGGACAATTAGACTAGAGAAAAATTGTAAACCTGACTTATCTGAGCTGGAGTCAATCACAATTGAATTAGATGTAAAATGTTATTTTAATGACAACTAGTAAGAATGTGTCGCCTTGCTGGTGACTAAATTTAGTTGATAAATATATTTAAATTGTTTTGTTGGTGATTTATATGGGCATCACTTTTGATGCATTTATATATAGAAATAATATATTTGTAGCCATAGGCTACTGTAGCCGTAACTAAATAATCCTTTTCTTTGTTAATTAGGGTTAGGGTGAGATAAAGATAATATGCGGGTGAAAAGGTGTTTTGTAGTAAAATTTGGCAAGGAATTTTTTTTTGTTAGAACTCAAAGAGTAGTTTCATATACTCAATTTTGAGTTATCGTTATACATGGGGGTCGAAATTAGGGATGATTTTCGACAGACGGTCTGGCGAAATTTTTTGGGTATTTTCGCCATGATG